AGTTTCATAGTGAAGAATTATACAAGTGATTTTTTTTCTACATTAGATTCAAATAAGTTCATATCTCTACTTTGTCCATTGAAAAAGTTAGAGTGTAATGAATGCAGTCAGAGTGGTTGCTAATCTATACATCATCCCTGTCAGTGCCCTTGATGACTATAGGAGGAGCCCAAAACCTAGATTTCTCCAACTGGCAGGAGATGGATGAGGATAGTTATGCTATACTGACTTGTTAGTGGATAATATTGGAAAAAGAAGTGTCAATACAGTAGTTACCAAAGAATTACATGACCATGGCACTGTAGCATCTATAGTCTGATATGATATCATGTCTGACCTGAATGAGAAACACACCATACAGAAAATTACAGTGAAACCAAATAAAGGAAGAAAATGTTAGAATAATTTTAATAAACTGATAGTAAGGAGCTATGAGTGAGAAGAATAAATTTCTCATTGTATTTATTTCCAAGAGAGAATTTAATGGAAACTTTAATAACATTTTTCTAAATAGGTAACTTTAAAAAAAATTTCCTCATGTAAAAAGATTGAGATTTTAAAAGGGGCCTTTCAGCACCACCCCTTCAGAGCTTCCTAAATGACATAACTATAAGGGCATTAAAAATCCCAATTTTTGAAATAAACTGTCAGCCAAGAATAAAGATATGGGACAATATGATCTAAGACTAGAAATATACCCAAGATTTTTTATCCCATGGGCTCTTTAATGTCCACACAGAACAAACAGCATCTTGACTTATAAGGCCTTATACACCAGACCCCAAGTAACCAACTGCTCAGAACTTTTCAGTTTGCAACCATATTTTACAGATTGATACCAGCATATATTTCATAAAGAGTTAAAGAAAATTATCAAGGTGAGCAGCAGAAAACCAGTAATTCTTTGAACCTGAGTGGTGTTAATCTGTGATTTAGTGTATTCACCATTCAAATACTTTATCATCCAGATATTATTATGAACCTATTCTCAAAGTGGGTTTCATTTTATGTGCTCCTTTCTTTCCTCACTTCTGTGAAATGCAGAGGGGGAAAAGATGTTAACCACATATTTGTACTTAACCACCCAGTGTTATATATACTTTCTGGCTTCCACCGGAGAGCCCCTGACATCGCAAGGAACGGTGATCAAAATTCCACACACTAGCTTCAAGCTGGGGGCTCGTAGCTACTGCAGCATTAAAAAAGGATCTTGTCCTGGCTTCCTTAAATAAGCATGGTGATGGGATGGTTCAAGGGAAGAACACCTCTCAAATCACATGACCACTGCTGTGCTTCATGTGTCTTGCTTCTTTCATTACAGCTTGGCCACTACATTCTTCCCCTGTAATTTAGTAGGTGTGTGTGTATATATGTGGATGTGTAGTTCTGTTGGTGGTTATACACTATGCATGCCTCTTTCAGTGTTAGAGTGATGTGCTTCCCCCTGTGTCACAGGTTATGGGTCAGCCCTTTCCAATTTTCTGTGTTCATAAGAGTTTGGGTCTTCTGTTATTAGTGTGTGGTTCATGTAGCTGTGATGTATACATCCTGAACTGTTCATGTTGCATTAAACATGAGTTGAAATGCTGTGCCATGAGAGTTAGCTTTTCACGTTGGGCTGAAAAAGTCTTCATTTCTGTGTAGCAATTCATGTTACTATAACCTATGGCTTTCAATTGTACCTCCATAATGAAGACCTGACTTTAAACACTGTGCTATTCTTGTTATGACCTAAGCATAAGGTAAGTGATTTCTCTAACTGTATCTAAAGATTGTGGTCATTTATTAACATTTTTTCTCTTCTATTTTTTGCCTTTTACATTATTTTTCTCATCTCTAGTATGTGCTTTTCTCATTTCATTTTCTGTTTGACTCCTTAAGATTGCTTTATGAGCATTGTGATCTTCAGCAAAATACATATCATAGATTTAAACACATCAGATGTGTTATCATGAATAATTTGATATCCCAGAGCAGTCTTGAATGGTAACAGAAAATTTGTATCTATATTGTCAGTAAACCTTATGGTGTTCATTTCTTCCACTGGCTTCAATACTACAAACTGTAGTTTGTACAGTTTATACAGACTGTATTTTACACATGGTTTAGCATTCATTCCAGTGGAAAGATGAATCAGTTGTCAACATTGGAAAGTTAGAAGTTAAATATGGTAAAATTATATGTACTGAGAGAGTGATAAAGCAGATACTCTGACACTGTCCCTTTCAGTATGAATCCTTTAGAAAGCTGGTGGTAGATGAAATACTAGTTCTGTTTTGTTTTTCAGACTTCCCTTTTTCCAATGAGTACACCCAGGGTAAGATAGAGAGGAAAATCCACAAGACATGAACCTTCCTATAGAACTGGAGACGGGCGTGTGTTACTTTCTCTGTGGCATGCATGAGATCAAGAGTAACAGTTATTTCCCAAATCCATCTGTTCTAGCAAATTCCATTACATTGTGTGTGATGGTACAGTGGAATCTTCGGCTTGGGATTTCATGAAAGGACTGAGAATTTGAAAATTCACAAGTAGCATAGTGTAAGGTAGAGGGAAAGGGCCCATTTTAAATGGGTTTTGACGTATGTACAAACATTAGAACTGGACATTTTTTTAAAGTGATTTTTCCCCATTCTCCATCTTTGTATCCAGAGCCCTTGGTGTTTAGAAAGTGTTTGTATTAAAGGCTGTTTTGTGTTCTGGGTTGGTTTGTTTTTTAATTTAAAGATTCCCCAAAATCTTGCACTTTGTTATCCAAAATAAAGTAATTAGAAACATTATGCTGCTGTTTGGCTGTGTGCCAATGTTGAGAAATGTTCATGTATATTTAGTTGAGTTGGTTTCTCATCATCCAGATCCTTCTTCCATACCTGCTGTGAAATTTATAGGAAGCAAGTTCTTTTCCATTTGGCTCATATTGCCCCATCACGTGAATGTGAGATTTTGTCTTTAAGAACTAAAGCAAGGTTTCATTTGGGTTTCTTTATTAAACCCATTATACGAACAAGAATAATATTTTAAAGAAACTATCCCAAGAGGCTTTTTTATTTTTTAGTAATAGCTAATTCTTTACCATCATTGTCATTTGGACATTGTGCAAAGGGAAATGCTTTTGGAACATTTTAATAATATTGAACTACACATTTGAACTGCTCTGTTCATTAGAAATTTCTGGGTTTTGTCCATCTACTAGCTCCAATATACGTTGAAAGGGCTTAAAGATGAACTCAGGAGAAATACAGGCCATGACATGAGTAACTATTTCTGATCAAAGGAGTTGCTTTCCATTCGCAAACATTGCTTTGCATGTTGGATTTGAGCTCCTTCTGTTCTACACTTTGTTGAAGATTCTCTTGACTTCCATTTTACTCCTTTTAGCACTTTTTTTCTGTAACATTTCTCCCCACACCCACTTTCCTTTTCCTCTCCCAGTCTATCTTCCTCTTTTACAAAAGCTGCTGCTTCTATTTCCTGAATCGCTTTTTTTTAACTCAGTTTCTCTTTTAACAAGCTTGTCTATTAGTGTTTCTATTTCTTTTCTCCTTTAGGACTGTGGTGGTTATTGTAGTTACACTAATTTTCATTCCATGGTGTGCCAACTTGCTTTGTTTATTTTGTATGGAGCCTATCTTTTTTTTCCTCCTTGTGGTTTTCAGTGAGAAACAGAAAAACTTTAATCATGTAGATGATGTCCCCTTCTGTAGGGCTGCCTTTCTGCCCTTCTACATCTCTAGATCTAATTCACTCAAATCTTTCTTCTTTTTTTATCACTTCTGTTTCTATTTCTTAAATAGTCATTATTCTTTTCCTTTTGGTCCAAAGCTATACTTTAATAAAACTTCTAAGAAAAAAACTTCTTTCAAATTGGCCCCACTTTTTCATGGTGCCAAAAAATAGTTCAGTGCAATAAAGAAATAAACAAAAAAAAAGAGATCTGGGCCAAAGGAGGACAATTTTGACATTTCTTTGGAAATTTTTATTTTTAATTGCATTTTTGTGGTTTTTTAACTTTTTGTGTGTATGTTTGTGATTTTTTTTTTGTTTGTTTTAACACATTAACAAATTTTTTTCAGGGAAGGACAACCATAACCCACCCTAAGTTGCAACATTTCTTTCATAAGTTGTTTCATTAGAATAAGTAGATTGTGTAACAGAATCCAATTTGTTGTGTGAATAAACATTTGGGGCAAGCTACTGTGGAGCAGAGAGGAGAGGTTTGGAGTTTCAACTAAGAACAATTTCCTTTGAAATTAGCAGAAAGCCCTAACATGTAGCGAAAGATCCTTTTAGAGCGCCATAGTTTTTTATCCTTAAAAGAAATGTCCTACCTTAAAAACTTAAAAAGGCTTTTTTAAAAATTTTTCAAATGAGTTCAGTGGAACAAACATATATCAATGGTAAATCCAAGAACACTAGACAGATATGCTCAATTTCTTAGATTTTTACTGAGAAGCTGATTATAAACCATCGAAGCATTGTTACTAAGATTATCACAATCACACGATAAATGTTGCTTATGCTTGGGTTTCTTTTTTCTTGTCCTACCTTAATGGGTCTACAGAATATGTCTACAATTGAGTCTTTGAGTATAGCTTTCTTACATGAATTGGCTTTTGTTCTATTCATGGGATTAAAAAGTCTAAAAGTGAAGGGATTTGCATCTTCAGTTGAATAATCAGCCTTGGAATTTTACCCAGATCTTGATTTCAAAAATTCATGAACAAAATTGCCATTATTTTTGCTGTTGTTCTAGTTCTTAACATGCTCTCAAAGTTTATTTCCCTGACTTCCAGTCAGTGCTTTCTTGAAAGCAGGGTGGGGGGAATGGGGAAATGAATGTATTGGTACAATATGTGTTAGGTATATTGAATCCTACTTTTGAAATCTCAGAAATACATAAAGCCTTTGCCTCTCAATCCCAGAAGCTTGCCCATTAACTCTGCACATCTGACTGTCCATGTTACTTACTGTATCTCATTGAGTCTATACTCTCTCTGCAGGTCCAGTCCAGGTGCAGCAGCAAGGAGAATATTCTCAGAGCCAGTGAGTATTGTATCATTTCAGGTGGACTAATGAATAAAACCTTCTAATCAGATATAAAGGATAGTTGAGAAAAATATATTGGTAATGGACCAGCAAAAGAAAGAGCTATTTCAGACATAGAATTGATAGGGCTTGATGGTTCTGGTTCTCAAGGAAAATTCTCCAGGAGTTTAAATTTTCAAATGAGTCTGATGTACTCTTTCATGAACTACACATTCTTTTTTGCTTTTTACTAATTTTTTTCCCATGGTGAGGGAGCATGGTGGGGAAGAGGGAAAGAAGCAGATTTATGCTGTGATTTTTGGGGGGTATGAGAAAACTTCCTATCCCAATGCAGTTATGCAACTGTTTTGTACTTGACAGTCTTAGAATCTGGACTGTGGGGCCCAGAGATACAATGTGGCTGCCCAGGATCACACAGCCAATATGTGGTCAGAGGCAGGGCTTGAACTCAGAGCTTCCTGAGTCCAAGGCCTCCTCTTTATTCACTGTGCCTGTATATACCTTTTTATGATATTCAGAGAGTTGCAGTTAAAGACACTTTATGTTATAGTGGAGGGTTAAAGTCAGATCTCAGCCTGCAGTAAAATTACAAGGAATGTAATCAACATTAACATAAAGCCAATAATATTAAATTACCTGAAAAGGAAACAATAGGGCAATATACCTGATCCCCAAAAAGAAAATAACATACCATTATTCTCTCAGTTATTTGTTACTTCAGTTGATCTATGATGTTATTGATGTGGGTCCTCCGTTTAGTGGGGCAAATCATAACTCAATGACATCTTCTCATCTAGTTCAGTTCTTGTCCATATCTTCCCAGAAAGCCTCCATAGATAATTTAGCCAATGTACTAGATATCCTCCTTTATGTCTTTTAGCATACTTTGGGTACAACTTCAGGTCCATCTGTCATCCCTTGCATTTGCTTCATGGCTGAGGCATCTCCTTTTTCTATTTTATAATTCCTGAATGACAAAAGCCCAGTCTCAGAATCATAAAGACCTATGTTACAGTTTTGCCTTTGACACATAATAGCTGTGTGGCTATGGTCAATTCATAGTGCTCCAGGTGCCTCTCTAGGACTGTAAATTATAGATGGTTGACAGATGGATGGATGGCTGATCTATATTGGTGAAAGGACGTTTTACACTGGGAGTTCATTATACCAATGAACCCACTTATTTGGGAGTATTTTTATATATACATGCATATTATATCTATCTATCTATATGCATATAGATAGATAGATAGATAGATAGATAGATAGATAGATAGATAGATA